GCCTGCCTCTGCCTCCCAAGTTCTGGGATTAAAGGCATGCACCACCACGCCGAGCTATTTTCTAAAAATAAGGGGGAGAGAGAGAGGAGACACAAATAATGCCTAGCTGGTAAGGAGGAAAAAAATAATAAATAAACAACAACCCAGAGGGAAATGTATTAGTTCAAAAACCAACTGAAAAATTACACATATATTTCTACATGAGTCCATATGTATAGCTGAAGGTGGTATAACAAGAAACAGTGCCAGATAGGAAAAACGTCCCTCAAGCTGTTGGCCAGGGTAGTCCAAGAGACTCCCAAAATTACACAGGTTATTGCCACAGCACTTGATTGCCTCCCAGAACTTGAAGGTAAGATCTACTGCTGAAGACAGGACATACTTCAGACACTTGGAGCAATGGAGCTGGAACTGACCTGGAAGTCACTTCCCCTAAAGGCTAGCTCTCATTGCTTTGGAAAGCACTATGCAAGGTGCTAAGGGAGAATATCAATCAATCATCCAACGCCAGCTTTAAGGCTTAATAATGACAATGACTGGCACAGAAACTATATTGGGGCAAAAGTGGTACTTTTATCTTGGGGGTAATCAACAGCTACCTAATTGGCCTTAAAGCCCACTCAGTGGGAAGAAACTTATGTATGTTACTGTAAACAGCCACATAACCATGGCTGGAGGTCATGGATCTTAGAGAAAAACACAAGGTTATCACTTCCTAGAAAAATGTTAATTTCTTACTCTGTGAAAAATATGGATCCTTAAAAGTATGCTAATTACCATTCATCAAAGAAGCCTCTTTTGCAATAAAGACTACTACAGAGTTCCACAACTGGTCATACAAAGGATTAAGTGTCTGTGAAATGCCCAACCCTAAGTGAAACATCTACAATGGAACATCTACACCTAAGGCTCACGGAACAGAGTGGAACAAGAGGTAGAGCGAATACTAATATATCTCTCAACTCTCATCAACAAAGTTCCCTCATACAACTGAGGGTAATGAACACAAGAGTTTACAAATGACCAAAGCATAGAGAATAAGAGTCTGCAGTGTGGGTCCTTGGACAAGACTCATATATTAAACTTCACCCAGACAGAGCAAGGACCATCATGGAAGAGGGGGCAGAAAGACTTAAGAGCCAGGGAGGAGGTGCATGACCATATGGAAATAGAGTCTTACAGACTCCTGGGACCTTGCTCATATGAACTTACAGCAAAGTTGAACTGCAGAAATGGGCAACAAGCCCCAATCTTAGTCGAAGAATTACTGGCAGCTGATAACTGCTGGGTGAGGAAGAACTAATCTTTAAGGGAGTGACTAAGATAGGCTGACTAGACTAGAGTGGATGAACTTGCAAAGGGCTGTTTGGGGATATTACCTTGTCTTGATAGGCCTTAACATAAATGACAGAATACATGAAATTCAGTGGAGAGGGGCTATGGATGGGTGGTGATGGGGGAGGGGGTATAAAGATGATTAAGATATTGTGTATGAAATACACAAAAAATTCAATAAAAATATACCAAAAAAATTTACTTAGCATTTTTATTTTATGTGTGTATGAGTATTTTGCCTGCATGTATATAAATGCACTTGTGTCATACAAGGCCCGTAGAGGCCAGAAGAGGGTGTCAGATCACCTGGAACTGGACTTATGGATAGTTGTTAGCTGCCACATGGGTGCTGAGAATTGAACCCAGGTTCTCTTAACCACTGATCCATCTCTCCAGTCCCAACAATGTGCTTTTACATAGATGATTTATGTTTTGAAATTTGAGTTCTCTTACCTCAAATTACTAGCTTTACAAATTTTTTTGAAAATCTGGATAAACATTCAATTTTCTCCAATAACTGAAGAAAACTGAATTCCAGTAATTTAATGGATGACCTCTCTCAAGGAAAAGATACATTAAAAAAAAAAAAAAAAATTCTTCCAGTACTAGATAGCACATCTGCAATCGAATCTCTACAATTAAGGCTCATGGAACATAGCAGAATAAGGGGTAGAGAGAGGGCTAATACACCTCTCAACTCTCACCAGTGAGGCTTCCATGTACATCAGAGGGCAATGCACACAGAAGGCCACAATTGGCCAAGTTTTGGAGAATAAGAGACTGTAAAGTGTAGGATGGGACTCTTACATGGCACCTCATTCACCCTCGGCTCAGGGACCATTGCGGAAGAGGAGGTGGAATGATTGTAAGAGCAAGGACTGGATCATGAACACAGGGAGGAGGAGGCTTCCAGGCCATTGGAGGGTTGCTCATGTGAGTCTGTGGCAGTGGTGGTATCAAGTGTGGGACCCATGTCAGCTCAATGAAACAAGGGCCCAAAGGGGAGGTGAGAAATAGGTGGCTGGTCAGCACTAGACTGAGAACTATTTGAGACTGATTGCTGCTGGGTGAGGGAGAGTATGATTTACATACAACCACTGGCAAGGGCTGACTAGACTCCAGTGAATTCATTTACACTGAAAGACATTTGGGTACAAACACCTGAACAAATAGGACTCGGCAGTATGGCAGAGTGTGTAGGGTTTGGTGGGGGAATAGGGGGAGGCATGGATGGTTAGGCATGGATAGGGAAGGGGGTCTGGATTTGAAAGGGAAGTGTATGAAATTTAAAAAGCTCAATAAAATATTCCTATTATTCTTACCTGAAAATTCTGTTTTTCCCAAGAATAATCAAAGTAGATAAGGTTCCCACTTTATCATTATAGAGATTACCGATGATTTGCCCCAGGTCAAGGTGTTAACAAGGAATTCTAAGTCTAGACTGATATTTTTGTCCATGCTCTTTGAAATACATATTGTCTTTTTAGTTGTTTCCTTATTTATGCAATTTAAAAACTAAAAGAGATCAGCTTAATGTTGTGTGCTAACACTATAAAAACAAAAAGTTCTACTTACCTAGATCATCTGTTGCAAAAGGCTCAAAATTTGAAGATACAGACATGACACTCACATTATCAGCATCATTTTGTTCACTTATTTTATGTGTTTCCCTTTCAAAGTTCTTCTCAAAAGTTTCCTAAATTAAACAAATAAAAATCACTACTATTTCTTCTAAAACATTTTATAAATAAATATTAAAGATCTAACATAGAAACTTATCTGCATGACACCATACATCTAAAAGAGATACTCACAAGTTACAGGACTATTCCATCCAATCAAGATGGCAATATAACCAGTATTTTTAAGGAATCACAGAAAACACTAAAATATCAAGTAGAAAAACAGTAGAGAACTTTGTCATTGGATAAAAATACACAAAGCCAGCTACTCATTAAAAATGATAAACCAAGAGTTAACATTTTAAGTTATTTTTACATAATCATGGACACTTTAACCCTGAATCCTTATTTTATTATATATAATATATAATTCCTATCTGAAGAAAAACGTGAGAATCATTCATAATGTCACATAATTAAATTTTATTGACACAACATACAGTATGTGAGACAGGGTCTCCCTGTAGCCCCAGCTATCCTGGAACTCACTATGTAGACCAGACTGGCCTTGAACTCACAGAGATCTGCCTGCCTCTGCCACCCAGTGCTGGGACTACAGGCGTCCTCCACCACGCCTGGCTATATGTACAAATTTTAAGCATACAGTTTGATGAGTTTGTATAAAAGGATACATTCATGTAATCAGTTTCTCTAAAGGCCCATTTTCATCAGCACAAGAATGTTTCTGCAACCCTCTATAGTTAATCTCCACCTTATCTCACTCATACCATTTCTATCATTGTAGAATAGTCTATCCCAAGTTATTCAATGTCTAATAAACCTATACTAACCAAGCAGCTCCTTTTCTACACGAAGTATACAATTGGGACATTTTTCATTTCCCACAAAAAAGAACATGCCATTTTCAGCTAATTATAATAATTTGTCCAAAGCAGCAATTACTTTATATTTGACATTATAAAAGTTAAAACTATGGGGCCAGGGAAATGGCTCAATTAGTAAAGTACCTAACATGAAAGCATAGGGACCAGAGTTCAAATCCCCAGCAACCACATAAAAGGCTGAGGTATGGCCATGAGCATCTACAACTCTACTGTGAAAAGAGTAGAGACAGGCAAGCCCCAAGCTCGCAAGGCAGCTACTCTAGTCAATCAGTATGTGCTAGGCTCAGTGAGAGACCATGTTTCAAAAGATAAGGTGCATAGCAATCAAAGAAGACACCTATACCTTTTGGTCTCCATGTGGACAAATGTGTGTATGCACACAGACACTAAACACACATAGGTGTATGTGCACATACACTATACTACACACACACACACACATACACACACACACACACAATTTAAACTATGTAATTTTTAGGCACAGGCTTAGTTCACAATAGCCTAAGACTTGGAGAATAGGGGAGAAACACTTTAAGAAGAAAAGATGAGTTAAGGGAGCACTATCTTTAGCATGTGTTTAATAGTAAAAATTCAAGAAAATCCTAAAATAGTTCTAAGGAAATTATTCTTATATGAAAAAGAGACATAATATCCTTTTGTAGAAATATCATCATAATGATGCTATACAGCAGTCTCTTCTGCATGAAATAACTACCATCATCACAACTTGGGCTGAGCCTGATTGCTAAACATAATCACAATTGGGCTTGTTGACGATTGTGCTCATTCATGAAAGGAGTGCCAAGCAGGGTCACTGGACACTCACCTGAATACCCAGCCACTCTTCCCAGACAACTAGTCCAGCCTTGGAAGACAAAAGAAAAACGAGGAAGAACCCAATAGAAGGATGTTTTTGGAAGTCCTTGTCAAGAAACTCCAATGGACTTTCATATGAACATTTGAAAATTGCCCTGTTCTGACTTTTTTCTAGTTCCCTGTCTAGAACTTGTAATGCTAATTACTCTTGCCTTTACTTCTCCTTCACATCTCCTATTCATGATCCAAGGACTTTCTTTTCCCCTTAGAGACAAGAGTTATGCAATTTGGGAGTCTTTTAGATAGACCCACTGAAGGGGTACTCCAATTGCCTCACCCTGCATCCCTGTTCAGCATGGAAGCTAGAGTGGTCTGTGTCCCTGTTCCCTACTGGCAATTTGGGTAACCCCTTAAGAGGATGGCATGATAAGAATAGGAGGTAGGAAATGGCTTGGCAGTTAGGGTAGAAAGACCCAAAGAAATGTAGCCAGTTTCTGGGCTAAAAGTCAAAATGTCCTTGGGCCTGTTGGCAACATACTGTTCCAAAGGCCAAAAATGTCAAAGTATTTGGGAGCTTTTATCTAATCCTTAAAAATTTTAGGGTTACCTCTTCAGAGGGGGGAATGTTGGAGGGGAGGGAGTGGGCATGGATTTGATCAAAACACCTTATATACATGTATGAAATTCTCAAAGTTTTTGTAAAAGTTAAAAAAACAAAAAGTATCATCATAAGCAAGTATTATTTTAAAATTGCAACAGTGGGCAAAAATTACAGTAGTATTTATTATTCCAAATCTTTACTATACAAGCATTATTCTGCTAATCAATTACTATATTCTTATTCATAGATTTCCAAGTGCTACAGTTTTTTTTTTAATGTTTTTGCTATCTAAGAACCATAATCAAGGTCTGAACTTGTAAATATGTCATTTAAAACTATCTAGCATATTATTCTTTAGTATCCTTTCAGTTTTCCATGTTCTTTCTACTTTATTCAGAATTTTATCCAAGCAAAATACATTAACTAGTATTTTTTTTTATTTTATTTTATGTGTATGAGTGTACTGCTTTCATGTATGTGAGTGCATCCGTGTTGTGCAATGTTGGGGAGGTCAGAAGAGGGCGTAGGATTCCCCTGGAACTGAAGTTAAGGACGGTTCATATTACTATGTTTTTATTTTATGTGTATGAGTGTCTTGCCTGCATGTGTGTAAGTGCACCCATGTTGAGCAGTGCCCACAGAGGTCAGAGAGGGTGTTGGATCCCCTGGAACTCAAGTTACAGATGGTTGTCAGCCACCATGTGGGTGCTGGGAATCAAACCCAGATCCTACGCAAGAGTAGTCAGTGCTTTTAACCACGGAGTCATCTCTCCAGGCCCCATTAAAATGTATTTTTTCACTGGATGTTTTTCTGTAGTTCAGATTTCTCTGTTATTTAAAGACTTGATTTTACTGTACTTTAATCCAGATTCTTGCTGTGATCTGACTGTATCTGCTTCACTAAATGTTTTGAAGGCACACATACACATTTATTAAATGTCTGTTTAGAGTCAGCTGCTATGTATGTTGGACAATGAAGATATAAAAACAGCTACTACCCTCATCATCTATCATTTACAGTAAGTTTTGGTATCGTAAATTTTATTCGTGTTTTATACTTTACCCTCAAAGTAATGCATTACATTCATCTTTTTTTAAAACCGCAATACCAAATATTAAATTAGGTATATTTACAATTTGACAATAACTTCTTTAGCTTTTGTTTAGTATACGTTGAAATTATGTTCATATTCGGCATATCATTATTGGCTTACATCATCAGTGGTAACAAGGCTTTCGCTTGGAGTAAGTTCTGAGTTTGATGCTACCCAAGTGCCAGAATGCACTGACTTTATGTTTTCTCCTTCTTTTTCATCACTTTCAGAAATATGTCTGGATACTATATCCTAAATAAGGAAATAAAGACATTTATGTACAACATATATGCTTCATTTCAAATTTATGCTACAAACTTAGAAGCCAAGGTAGATGGAGGAACAAATAAGAGTACTTAACATAGCTTAAATGCAAGGAAAAATTAAAGAAAAACACAGGAAAAACTGCAAAGACTGCCTAAAAAGCACCTAAGATATGTACGAAGTTTTAAATAAAATGCTGAAGAAAAAAAAATATTCAATTTAAGAAAGTAACCATCTATAACCATGGAGTATCTGAAAGAAGAGCATTAGGCATCAGTTACCTGCAAAGCATATAAAGCTCTCTGTCTCAAGTAGTCTGTACTCAGTAACTGAAGCTCATGGAAGAGTTCAATAAGAAAATGTGGACGAGACTCATTTTGAGAAATTAATGTAGCTACTTCAGAATAAATTGTATCCCGTAAAGCTTCGAACATGGAAAAATCACTGCCGGTTTCTGGAAGATAAAAAAGATCAGGAAGGTAACAATGATAAAATATCTTCATGATAATTCCTATTAGTCTACATCACTACTCTAAGCTTTATTAGAATACAGTTCTACTTCAGGACTTTTAAAGTAAAACAAAAAGCTTAATATTGCCAAGTTAAGAATAATCTTAAAATACCAAGATAAATACTATGTACCAAAATTATTTAAATTCCCAAATAACATTACCAAGTGCTTAGTATTATATTTATTTCTCAAAAAAAAAATCTGGTCTAGCCTATAACCCTAGCAATAAGGAGCATGAGGAAGGACCACTACAGTTAAAGGCCAGCCTGGACTAACCAGAAACTGGTCCCAAACCAAACCAAACCAAACATGAAAACAAAATTTGTAAAATTATTCATACTTCATGGGAATAATCACTGAAAATCTTTTTAGCACCTGAAAAAGATTAAGTTCAAATAATTTTGGTATTTTGCTAATATAAACTTCTAACAAAAAAGGAAATCTATTAACGCTGAGAAAAAATGCTGATAGACAATGCATAATTATAACATAAATGGTCAATTTCACTGCAGTCATATTTACATATGGTACAAAATGGAGGAGAAAGTGTCCAACTCTAATTTATAGTTTCACAAAATCTCCACATCACTGTATTATTTAGCTAAAATTCTGCTATATGAACCTGACCTGTTGATAACACATTGACCTCTTTTAAATGCATAGTCTGTGTGCACGCACGTGTGTGTGTGTGTGTGTGTGTGTGCGCATGACAATGGGGACCAATCCCAGGGTCTCACACATGCTATGTCTGAACCATATGCTTAGCCCACAACTGTTTTTTTAATTAAAAAATATTTTATTATTTTTAGTGTATGAGTATATGGCCTGCACCCATGTAAGTGCACCTGTGTCGTGCAATGCCTGTGGTCAGAGGACGGTGTCAGATTCCCTAGGAACTGGAGTTACAGATGATTATTAGTTGCCATGTGGGTGCTGGGAATTGAACTTCGGTCCTCTGCAAGTACAGCCAGTGCTTTTAACTGCTGAGTCATCTCTCCAGCGCCCCCCTCATTTTGGGGGTAAATTTTTGTATTGAATTTTTGTGTATTTCATCTAGAACATCTTAACCTTAATCACCTTTATACCCCCCTTCCCCACTGGCACCCTCCTATAACCCCCCCAACCCCACTGGAATTCATATATTCTGTCATTTGCGTTAAGGCCTATCCTGTCAAGTTAGTGTTCCCAGACATCCCCTAAGTGCAAGATCATCCACTGGGTTCTAGGCCCTATCCTATAGTCCCTCCCTAAAGGGATCAGTTCTTCCTCACCCAGCTACTTAATTCTTTGATTAAGATTGGAGCTTGTTGCCCATTTATGCAATTCTATGCTGAGGTTTTGTCTGCTTGTTTGCACAGGTCTTGTGCATGCTATAGGTTCATATGAACAAGGTCCCAGAGCCTATAGGACTCTATTTCCATATGGTCATGCACCCCCCTCCCTGGCTCTTACAGTCTTTCTATCCTCTCTTCTGAAATGCTCCCTGAGTCCTCGATGGGTGGAGTTTAATATAAGAATCCTGACAAAGGACTCACACTCTGCAGCCTCTTACTGTCCATGCTTTGGCCATTTTGTGACCTTTTGTGTTCCTGGCCCTCTGTTGCATCAGAGAGCTTCATTTATGAGAATTGAGAGATGCATTAGTGTCCTCTTTACCTCCTGTTCTATGTTCTGAGAGCCTTGGGTGTGGAGGTTGCATTATAGATGTGCTACTTAGGCTTGGGCAATTCACAGACAATGTGTGTGATCCGTTCCAGAACTCTGTAACAGTCTCCATCTCTTTCTAAAAAAAGCTTCTTTGATGAATGGTGATTGGGATACTTGTCTATAAATAAAAGGATCCACATTTTGCACATAGTAAGAAATTACATTTGTCTAGGGCTGTGGCAGGCTTGGGGTTTTCTCTAAGATCTAAGACTTCTCCAGCCATGTCTAGCCCCACCAAACTTTTAATTTTAAGAGTATGAATTAGAAAATGTTTCCATTTTGTATTCTCTAGAAACAAAATAAATAATAAAAGCAACACATTCTCAAGTGGTTCTTCTATCAGAAACTGTTCTTTCCCCTGGAATATTAGTTTTTACCAACATCTGTGATAAGAAGGGCTAGAAAGATGGTTCAGCTGTTAAGAGCACTGGATGCTCTTGCAGAACACCAGGGTTTGATTCCCAACACCCACATGGTGGCTAACAACCATCTGTAACTCTAGTACCAGTTCTGACACACACTCTTCTGATCTCTGCAGGCACTTTGTGACATGGGTGAACTTACATGCATGTAGGCAATACACTCATATGCATAAAATAAAAATAAAATTATATGTAAAAATCAGTGATAAAAATATTGCATTTTGCAAAAATCAGTGACCAGATTCTAAGAAAGATTTTAAATGCTGAATGTTTCAAAATATGTTGTTTTTAAAAAGTATGCAAGGATCATGAAAATTTCATTCATTTGTGCAGGACAGAAGTTAGATAAGGCAGAAGGAAGGTACTCTAAAAGAAAGAACTTTCCACTAATTAGCCAAGTAACATAACATACTCAGACATCAATTTTCATTAGCATAAAACAAGAGTAATAAAAAGCAGGCAACATTCCTGTCCTTAAGACAGTCATGCATAGAAAAGAAGACATATTAAAGTTCTCTTAATAGTTTAAAAATGTTCAAATGTTACATATTATTATGAAAGTGACATTTACTATAAGTAGAAACCAAACCCAAGAAATCTCCACTTGAAGGAAAAAAAAATCCAGATCAGGAGGTACTGATACAAAAAAATTTCAATTCAACAATATAGTACAACCAAAGTGTTTAGTTTTTTTAAATGTTTGTTTCAAAGCTATAACACAGTAGATTAATGGCTTCCTTAATAGCTCTAAATAAATAAAATTATTTTAAACTGAAATTAATCTTAATCACAACCTTCATCCCTCCTTTACGCAGTTAAGAGATATAATGTTTATGTCAGTTTCTTTAGAACTAAAATTAATTAGCTTTTGTGAGAGAACCCCCAATCTCAGTCATTTGTCTAATTTAATCTTGTCAGGTCTAAGTCCTTGCTTCACTTTCTTTAGAGTCCCCTAAGGATTCAAACAAGTCTTTATTTTCCACTCATGTATAGTCACAGAAAAAGCTAAAATACTTTTGTAATTCTAAATCACGTAGAATCATACATAACACAAATAATATTTTGGAACCAAAACAGCATTTTGGAATCTTTCAAAATTTCCATGATCTTGAGTAAGTCTTTGCTTGACACAGTTGGTATGGTTGTTTATTTCATTTTTAGATGCTGACTGGTAGTGAAAAAAAAAAAAAAAACAACAAAAAATCCAAGTCTAAGTGGCACGTCTACTATGCAACCTCCTCTACACCTAAGGCTCATGGAACACAGAACAAGGGGTGAAGAAGGCAATAATGAATATCTCAAGTCTCATTAATGGAGCTCCCCATGCAACAGAAGGTCAGGTCACAAATGGCCAAAGTGTAGAGATTAAAAGTCTGTAGAATGCTGGTCCTTGGACAGGACTCCTATATTAAACTCCACCCACCCAGGGCTCAGGCATCATTGCGGAAGATGGGGTGGAAAGATTGCAAGAGCCAGGGAAGAGGTATATGACCATATGGAAACAGAGTCCTAAGAGTTTCTGGGACTCTGCTCATATGAACCTACAGCAATGGTATCAGCAGGCACAGGACCCATACAAACTCAGACAGACAAAAACCCAGCATAGAACCAGGGAAATGGACAGCTGACCCCACTTCTGCTTCCTTAGGATGGATCACAAAGAACTGTATAAGTTAAGGGCATGGCTTTTCAAAGTTTTTCAGAGAAGTACAAATTTATATTGACAGGCCTTTATAAGTGGTACCTTCTCTATAATTCCTCAACTGACAAATGGAAATAAAATAAATCTAGGACTATGAGGTTCAAATGACATGGACCAAAAGTTCATAAATAAAAAATTTGTAAATAAAGCATGACATAATGGTAACTGATACCATTTTCACCAAAAGTGACAAATGAAACTACAAATCTTTATTTACTCTTTATATATGAGATGTTCCCATTCTTCTTTTTCAAGAACAACTTCTTGAAATTTTATGTGTATGAGTGTTACACCTACATGTATATATGTGCATCACATATAAGCAGTGCCCGGAGAGGGCATGAGATTCCCAGAACTGGAGTTACAGGTGGTTGTAAGCCACCATATGGGTGCTGAAAACTGAACCTGGGTCTTTACAAATGGACTCTTAACCACTGAACCATCTCTCCAGCCCCTAGATGTATCTGGTTTTTTTTTTTTTATAAATTAGTAAACTGAGTGCTTACTTAAAAAAATGGTGACAGATATGTGACTCTAAAGGAACACTTACTGTGAGAGCCTACTACATATCAAGTATTATACTGACATTTAGGGTAAAAATATGAAAAAGTGGGGCTGGAGAGATAGCTGAGCTTTTAATAGTGTTTGCTGCTCTTAGCAGGGTGTGGCGGTGCACGCCTTTAATCCCAGCACTCCACTCGGAGGCAGAGGCAGGCAGATCTTTGTCAGTTCACCAGCCTGGTCTCCATACTGAATCCAGGCCAGCTGGGGCTACAGGGAGACCCTGTCTCAAAAAGACCAAAAAAAAAAAAAAAAATAGTATTTGCTGCTCTTACAGAGGACCTGGGTTTAGTCAGCACCTAAATGGTGGCTTACAACCACTTGTAACTCCATTTTCAGGGAATCTAACACCCTCTTCTGACCTCATTCATGCAAGCAAAATTCTCATACACATAAAATACAAATTAAATATTTTTTAAATGTGAAAAAGTAGTTATTTACTACCAAGGGACTCAAAAGAGTAACATTTAAATAGTTTAATACTAGACAATGTAATTCAGGCAGGAAAGAGGTTTACATAGGTCCCAATGGAAATGGAGAAAGAGCTAACTATCCAAACTTGGATTCAGATGCAATTTTAGAGATCCAGAATTAAAATTTATTTAAGAGTCTAGCAGCAAAAAGTACTTACAGAGAGCAAAAAAAGCTGTGATGTAGGAAAGGTAATTAGCAAGCTGAGAAATAAAAGGAGAGATGTGGAAAAGCTTTAATTCATATCATTGAAAAGAATAAAGTTCAAGGCAGAAGATAGTGAGAAATGAACACAAAGCCAAGAGACCAATTCTTTGATGGCTATCTATGTTACATTAAGGCATCGACACCTTATTACAGGTGTGATGAAACAAAGGTTTTAGGGAAGTGATATAATTTCACATGAAATTATTTTTTTTTAAACTTTATTTTTTTTTATATTTTTATTTTATGTGTACGCGTGTATTGCCTGCATGTAGGTACGTGCACCCATGTCGTGCAATGCCTGCGGAGGTCAGAAGAGGCTGTCGGATCCCCTGGGACTGGAGTTAGAGACAGTTGTTAGCTGCCATGTGGAATCGAATTCGGGTCTTCTGCAAGAACAACCAGTGTTCCTAACCACTAAGCCATCCCTCCAGCCCCATGAAATTCTTATTTAGGTAAGATTTTCAGAATTTCCAATTAAGAGTTCCACATTAATATCAATTATTTGTGTAAAAACAATTTTATTTAAAATGTTAAAAACTAGTATCACAGCAACACAAATATTTCCAGTTTACATTTCTCTACAATTTAAAGCCTTCATACGATAGAAATGTGTGATAGTTAAAGCTTTTCAAATTTAAGGTGAATTCCTAGAATTAAAGCAAACAAACAAAAAAAGAGAAACATACCTGAAGAAATTTCTGTAGACCTACTATATTTTATTATTTTTTCCAGCTGTTCATGATTCTTTCTGCTGAATACTTTTGCTTGAACAGGCTCTTCAGTTTGGGCTGAATGTCTGTTCCTACTTTTACAAGGTTCACATGTGCTAGACATACTGGCACTTTCATACCCTTGGGTAAAAGAAGTGACAGCTGTTATCAGTTGCAACTAACTTAAACTGAAAGGGAAATTGATTTCCCATAGTAAAATAGTACAAGTTAACTCAACCTATGAAGGCCTGGTATAAACGGAATACAAAATAATGTCTTTGAATATGTTTTCAATGATCTTTAGAAGGCTAGATAACAGTAATAATAAGCTCTAACAGTTCACTATCTTCTGATATTTATCTTAATACTCCAAAGTACAGTACGTTTTCTGTGACTTGTTTTTTCATGTTTACATTTGCTATTCTGGAATACGATCAGATTGTACATAGTAAATACATAGTTTCCCCCATTCTGGATGGACAAAAAGTTGGCTGAATTAACCTGTAGTCTCAAATCATTTATCACCTTTATCCTACAATTCTTTACTATTTTTTTCACCTACTTTAGGATTCTTGCATTTCAGATATACAAAACTGTTCTAAGACTCTAACAAGAGAATTTCCAATTCATGTTTATCATGTTTAGTACTTTTTGTTCTATATAATGATCTAATTCTATTTTTTGATTTTTCTAGATAGGTAATTTGGGAGTTACGGGTACTCACCCTCTTTTTCATATCATCTTGAGATTAAGAAAACCATTTCTGCTTAAATGCCCTTGTTATTTTCTTCAACTCTGTGTGTGTGTGTGTGTGTGTGTGTGTGTGTGTGTGTGTGTTTAACTAAATTGTGCCTAGTCAGGTAGTCTGCTTCTCTGAACGCTCTCTGGTTCCTATACTTCTTTTTATACGCACCATTATATGCACTAGTCCAGTCATGATTTTCACCTATCCTTAAGTGTAGTTCTCTATTTTTGTCAGAAAAGCTCCTTCATGCAGTAGGCAGAGGTGAATGCAGAGACTCATAACAGCTCAAAGTTCTGAGAAAAAGTGACTGTTAAGTGCTCAGGCTTAAATGGGACATCTATGTCAATCTCCCTTACAAGGTTCAGGGAACATAATAAAAGAAGGGGCAAAAAGACTTTAAGTGCCAGAGGTTAGAAAAAAATTGCTGTGAAATGCTTTCTGGACATAACATGACAGTTGCACTCATGAGCTCATAGCAGTTATGGTTACTTACACAAGACCTATACAAGATCAAGCCAATCAACATGCCAGCATGGATAGGCACATGAGGCTCCACCTTAGCTGAGGAGCTACATGATTCCCAAATTTAAAATATCATGGGGGAGTTGGGTTTAATCTCTGCATTTGGGAGGCAGAGGCAAGTGGATCTTTCTGAGTTTGAGGCCAGCCTGGTCTATATAAACATTCCAGGCCAGCTGGGGCTACAGGGAGACCCTGTCTCCAAAAGAAAAAAAGAAAAACAACAACAACAAAAAAACTCCTCACAAGCTTTAATCCCAGCACTCAGGAGGCGGAAGCAGAAGGAACTCTGTGAGTTCAAAGCCAACCTGGTCTACTACATAGCAAGTTCCAGACCAGCTGGGGCTGTAGGGAGACCCTGTCTCAAAAAGACCAAAAAAATAAAACAACAACAACAAAAAAAGTATGTACACACACACACACACACACACACACACACACACACACACGTATCACGGGGGGCTGGGCAAAATGGCTCAATAGTTAAGAATAGGTTCAGTTCCCAGAACCCACATGGTGGCTAACAGTCATTAGTGACTCCAGTTCCAGGGGATACAACGCCCTCTTCTTACCTTTACGGACACTGCATGACATAGGTGCACTTACTTACATACAAGCAAAATATTCATACACATAAAATAAGTTAAAAAAATTACAATCAAGGGCTAGAGTTCTTTTCTTTAAAATTTTTATATTACAAAACGCATTTATGTGTGCAGAAGTACAAGCATGTAGGGGCCAAAGGACAACATTGAGGAGTCAGTTCTCTTTCCATTTTGTGGATCCAATTTTCTGGATTGAACTTGGGTCATCAGGCTTGGTGGCAAGTGCTTTTATCTGCTGAGCTATCTTGCCAATCCAAGGGCTAGAATTCTAGCGTTAAGATACTAATGTGTGATTGAACAGTTTCTCTATAAGGCATTTTTTTTTTTGGTTGGCTTTGTTTTGTTTTGGAGATAGGGTCTCACTATGTTACCCAGGCTGACCCTGAACTTGCAATCTTCCAGACTCAGTCCATCAAATAATTGAGATTATAGATGTGAACCACCAGGATAAATTTCTAGAATATATTAATATAATTCTCCAAGGAGAACACCAGAATAAATAAGGGTTAATACTTCAGATTAACACTGGCCAAGTCAGACAGCATTTCCACAGCACAAATAACACAACATACTTTAAGGCTGTTGTTATCTCTAATGGTACTCTGCTACTCTTTCCCTTATTCCCAGTACTGTTTTACTCAGCATGACAGACAGAACTAGAAAAAACAGCACTTCTACTTGTGCCTTCATTGAAGGGAACTGGCTTTAGCCATGGCAACCTGGATGTCCTGAATGTATCCAAAGCGGTCAAGGAGGAAAGAACTGAACTATTTTAGCAGTCTCCTGGAACACACAGCTCCTATGTGTCCATTTCTCTCACTTCCTTCGATGTCTGGGAGGCTGTCAAAATATGTTACCTCCTCTCAGGCTCTAATGAAACAGGAAACCTTTCTTCCCAATCCTGAGGGACACACACTAGCAGACTATAAAATACATAGAGTTGCAACTGTCACCTGGTTCCTTCTGTTTCAGTGTTGCTCTTTTCAAATGAGACCAGAGGAACCAGGAACATGCACCTTCGGCTAATCTTCCTTTCTTTGTATATATAAGTAATAAACTAAATTTTTGGAGCCCATTTCCCATTTTATCAGGCAACTCTGTCAGGCTTTGGTTTGTCTAATGTTTTATATTCATTTCATATCAGTTCAACAAAAGAGGGAAGAAATGCAAAGACTAAAGAATAATAACCCAGAAACCAGCACATTATCATCTCTATTCAACTTTCCAAGAAAATAATGGCAAAGATTTAAACTAAGTTCCTATTCCTCTAATTATATTAAAACATATAACAGGCCTAGTATAGTATAACCAAAGTATAATCTGATAACTGAAAAATGCAGCTGGGCAAGAAATCACTTCCAACTTAGTCTAAATTTGGACCAAAGTTGAAAAGATGATTACTATATTGTAATTGGGCACCTTCTTGACCATAGCTATGCCATGTTAAAGTTTAGGCTGACTCTAGTCTCTGAAATTATCAGGCAATTGGCTCAAGGTATGGGAATGCATGTCAGCTAGACCCTGGTTATCTTGGGAACAGGTCAACGTGTTCTGGAGTGCACCTGCTAACTGCAGATTTATGGCTTCTGTAGGTTATGCTTGGCTTGCTTCTGCAAAATAGTAATTGTTACTTAATAGAATAGAAATTGTTAAGGGGACTCTCCACCTGTATGCTTGGGAACTAAGCTTTTCACCTCTGGTTATGGTTTCTCTGTATAAAAGCTTACCCTAGAGATGGCTCACTTGGGTCCCAACACCCTGGGGTAGCCACTGGCCAGCCAATAAAGACTTCCATTCGGCAAAAACTTTGAGTGGTCTTCTCTGGTGAAGTACCTCACAACATAATTTACAACAGTGTGTTTATATGTATAAAGACCTCCTAAAGATTAAAACATAGTTTCATCACAGGAAACAAAGCCAAGATTAAGCATGCCAATTATGAAAGACTATCAACATGTGGAAAAATATGTTGTAAACAGTTGTCTTTAATGTCTTAAGACAGAACTCTTAAGTACCACTATGCTGGTCTATTTGTCACATCCCTTTTCCTTTCCCAATTCTTTCTATCCTGCTTCTTCCCAACTATTCTTTTTTGGGGGACAAGGTCTCATTATGACAATCAAGCTGGCCTGGAACTTATGAATCGCCTGCTTTTGCCTTCTAAGTGCTACCATTATAGTGTGACACTATATACTGCATATGCTTATCATACTGTTATTACAGTTTTGAATGCTTTTCAGTTCTCTCTCTCTCTCTCTCTCTCTCTCTCTCTTCTCTCTCTCTCTCTCTCTCTCTCTCTCTCTCTCTCTCTCCAGGGTCTTGCTCAAGCTCCAGATGGCCTGGAACTTGCTGTAAAGAACAGGCTAGCCTAAGTCTCACAGATTTGCCTGCCTCTGTCTCTCCAGTGCTGGGATTAAAGGTGTACACCACTATGCCAGGCTCTATTTACTAATCTTTTAAAGACAATAAACACTTGGCTATTCCCAAGTATTTCTTTGTCTCACAAAGATAATACAAACAACATAAACTAGTGATTTAGTTCAGCATTTTGAGATGTTTACATATCTTATCTTCACATAAAATATTTGGAAACTTGCTAAAATGTATACTGATTCAGTTGGTATAAGATAGGGGCTAAAAGTCTGTATATTTCTAATAACCTCCCAAATGTCAATGCTGATTTATCTATAGCTTACATTCTTCCCTATATTAATCTGACTTTGTATTATTTGATTCAGCTGTGAAGTAGGGCTCTCGTTAACAGATGGCCTGGAATGCCTGCTGGACAAATGTGAATTTATTATTTGGGAAGATGTTCTTTCAACTACATATGAAGAGAGAGCATAAAGATCAAAAGGCCAATTTTTGTCATAAAGTAAAATAGTGGAACCATATATATGGCATTAAGAATGAAGATGATAGCTGGACGTGGTGGCACATGCCTTTAATCCTAGCCTGCTCTACATAGTGAGTTCCAGGAAGTTCCAGGCCAGCTGGGGCTACAGCAGATTTTGTTTCAAAAAGATTCCCTCCCCCCAAATGAAGATGTTTTCCCCAGTCAGAATGGGCATCATCAGAAATACAAATGACAACAAATGGTGGTGCAGATGTGGTGAAAGGAAAACTCTTACATACTGTTGATGGAAGTATAAACTTGTATAGCTATTTTGGGAATCAGTATGAGTTTCTCAAGAAATTAGGAATAGAACTGCCATATGATCCAGCTATGGTGGTTTGAATGAGGAATGTCTCCCCCCACAGGCTCCAAATAT